ACTTGGATGTTTAATTAGAATATAAACTGAAAGGGTTTCAAAGGGTCCTAATATACTATGACGTGTGTAGCAGTCCTCACAAAAATTATACACACTATATTAGTAAATCAGTGAACAAAGGGGTGATTTTATAGCCTATTTCACAAAGGAATCTTAGTAAACACAATTTGAAGCTTAAACAAAAAAAAAAACCCAAACAAACAAACACCATCTTCTGGTCTCTCAATTAAAAAGTAAATAAATGCATTTTAGATAATGTCTACCAGCTTCTTGAAATCACCAATGCTCCAGTGAGTATATAAAAAAAGATCCTAGACAAAGTGATTCATCTGATCCACACAGCAAATTTTGCTGCTCTGCAGTTTTGTCATTTAAATTTAGATGAATTTAGGTTGCTTCAGTGGCCACAGGGTATGTTTCTGCTGCATGACTGATGCTTGCAGAGATAAGAAGAGTTTCTTCTGGCTTATCTGAGGCAGTTTTTTTTTTAAAGTTAAGTTCCTCCAAGCTTTTACTTCTCCTCCTCTTACCTGCACCCTGTACAGCCTGTCCCGCTAAGATTTTTGCAGCGCTATTTCACAAACCTGTTCTGTCCTATTTTCATTGCTTTCCCATGACACCTGAGAGCCATTCATCATCTTCACCATTTTATCCGACAGCAGCCCTAGTTCACTTACCACTCTTCTGGCCCACTTTCAAAGGTCTTCTGTGGCTTTCAAAGACACTTCCTTAATAGGATCATCCTTCCCTCCATGCTGTTTCATTTTTTATTTTTACAGCCACGGATGTTTGGATACACATGAAAACAGCATAATGCGTAGCACAAAGAAGGATATAAAAATATTCTTGTGCACTTTTCTAACCCTACCTCTTGGCATTGTACAATAAATAAATAACACAACATGAATTAGACATTCAGAGTGTGTTCTCAGCATGAGGCAGAGAGGCGAGCTGATTTGGATCCATGAAAAAGCAGTTCGTTATTTTGTCCTGCTGCACCAGCACCCCTCCTCTGCTGGCTGCAGCCCAGCCTTGCCATGGCTGAGTAGAAAGAGGCTTATTTATAGTTGAACTAAAAACCTACTTTGAGACTTACTGTATTTTCTCAGGCAAAGATGGATTTTATTCATTTCTAATGTGTCCATACAGTACAACGTTAATATATTAGACTTTTCATTGAAAATGACCCTTTATTTAACTACGTTTCTCTAAATAATCATGAATATATCCCCAGAGCTGGTGCTAAAGGGATAAAAAATGTATAGAGTTGGCCAGCTTTTAGTATACTGTGGCTGTGTTTTTATAACCTGTGTTTTTCCCCTTTACAGGCTGTGAGCCGATCACTCTACGCTATCTGGAGTGGAGAAATCCAGAGTCCATTATCCAGGTGGTCTTCTCCTGTCTGGGCATCCTTGTAACATCATTTGTTACCTTCATCTTTGTCTTATACCGCGACACACCAGTGGTCAAATCCTCCAGCCGGGAGCTCTGTTACATCATCCTTGCAGGGATCTTTCTGGGCTATCTGTGCCCTTTCACTCTCATCGCCCGACCCACCGTGGCCTCTTGCTACCTCCAGAGACTCCTCGTCGGACTCTCAGCTGCCATGTGCTACTCAGCCCTGGTAACCAAAACCAATCGCATCGCTCGCATCCTGGCGGGCAGCAAGAAGAAGATTTGCACGAGGAAGCCGAGGTTCATGAGCGCTTGGGCTCAGGTGGTCATCGCCTTCATCCTGATAAGTGTCCAGCTCACACTGGAAATTACCCTCATCATCATGGAGCCTCCTGAACCCGTCAAATCTTACCCCAGCATCAGAGAAGTCTTCCTGATCTGCAACACCAGTAACCTTGGTGTTGTAGCTCCACTGGGCTACAACGGCCTGCTGATCATGAGCTGTACCTATTACGCCTTTAAGACCCGCAACGTCCCTGCAAATTTCAATGAGGCCAAATATATTGCCTTCACCATGTACACCACATGTATAATCTGGCTGGCGTTTGTGCCAATCTACTTTGGCAGCAACTACAAAATCATCACTACGTCCTTCTCTGTGAGCCTCAGCGTGACTGTAGCTTTGGGGTGCATGTTCACTCCAAAGATGTACATCATTATCGCCAAACCTGAGAGGAACGTGCGCAGCGCATTCACCACGTCCGATGCGGTGCGCATGCATGTTGGCGACGGTAAAATTGCTTGCCGGAGCAACAGCCTGTTGAACATGTTCAAGAGGAAAAAGAACACTGGAAATGGCAGGTAGGTTCATTAATTGAGTCTGTGAGTCCTGCTCCTGAGGCACCTCAGGGATGCTGGTTTTATTGTAATTCCCTCTCAAAGGGAACGTGATGTCTTACTGTATTCACTTTCCTAGGGACACCTGTTGTAAACTGTGACGGATATAGGTCAGTACCCAATTCACACAGCCAGTTCAGCCCTTGATCTGTTATTAAAATTAAAACAAGCATCTCTGTGTGCTAAGGGATGGCAAATTAGATCCCTAATACAGAATGCAGGGTTTCTCCAGGGCTTCAATAGCATTTAAGGTGTTTCTTTTGAGATGTTATATTCAAAACCTGTAGATACCCTGTAATACTGACAATATTTAAAAAAAAAATCAAATCAAATCAAAATAATGACATTAGTTTTTTACATGAAGCAGAAATGCTCTTTCTGTCTCCACTTTTCTGGGTTCCTATGAAGTAACAGCCGTCTTTATTTTGTTCATAGTTCTAATGGAAAGTCTGTGTCATGGTCTGAACCAGGTGCAAGACATCCTCCAAAAGGGGATCACATGTGGCACAGACTGTCAGTGCATGTGAAGAGACAGGAAGCAGGTTCCAATCAGATGGCTGTCATCAAACCCTTAACTAATACCTACCATAACACGGGCCTGGAATTCTCAGACCTCAGCACTAAGACTTTGTACAATGTGGCTGAGGAGGACGAGAGTGACCCTGTCCATTATAACTCCCCTGACACTCCCCCTATGGTGGCCCACGGGCAAATGCCTGCCAGTGGGCTGAAAAAAGATGTGCACGAGAAAGTGGAGCTCTATTCCCCCGAGCCTTTGCAGCAAAATAGCATTATCCCCCCCAAACATGTCGTGATGGACCGCCTGCAAGAGGAGGGGGTGGTGAGCAAGTTCAACAGTGACATACCTGAGATCCGTGATATGATAAGCATGCCTGAGGCTGTCAGTGGTGGGATGCCAGTGTACCATCAGGCTCACCTCATCCAGCAGGAGCCTGTCCTTCCTGTGCAGCTCGACCCATTTGACGAGGAACCTGTCTTCCCTTTAGAGGAGGAAGAAGAGGAGGAAATGGAGAATGAGCAGTTTGGCCTTCTCCACGGCTACATGTACAACAACTCCCAGATTCATGACGAGGAGGACTTTGTTGAGGTCAAATTAGCAACAGAGGACTCTCTGGCTCTGATGCCCCCCTCGCCTTTCCGTGATTGCACCGGTGCTGTAGTGAGCCCCTTTCCCAACTCGCCAGTGTCCGAGTCGATTTTGTGCACACCTCCCAATGTCACATACGCCTCCGTCATCTTCAGAGACTACAAGCAAAGCTCCTCAACTCTGTGAGGGCACGCCCTAAATGTTAACGCTTGTACTATAAGTTTTTATGTGTTGTATATGATTTTACATAAGGAAAAAGTGATCCTGTGGTCTGTCAAGTCATTTTTCACTCCTAATAGCTTTTACATGATAAGGGTGAGACATACTGTATATTTCTAATATAAGCTTTTAGAGAGAAAAATAACTGTATATATATATTTATGAAATATTGTTTGATAAATGTAGATTAGGTATCAATCTGATTAGTTTTTGGACTTTAAAGGTAACTTAATGAGCATAGCTAATAGAAAATTATTCACTTTAATAATAAGGAAATTTGTTTTGTGTGACACATTGCGTATCATGTCCTTTTCTGGCAAATGTAGAGATTTAAAGCAAGAATTGTGTTTTTTTAAAAACTCCCTCATTGACTTTCTTGGCGAGAAATAGAAAAGTAGGTCAATGTCACTCTCGTGTATGTTTCTAGCTGCTCATAGTAGCTTTGTGTCTAGTATACGGACATAAAAGTGGCATCCAGCTTTACAGCTAAGAAGAGTTACACCCCCAGAACTATAAAACTATCTACTTAAGCTTGAAGTGCAGGGTAAAATGTTAATAAATGCCAACTTTATTGTGAAAAAAGATATTATATTGTGAATCTCTGATGGATACAGTACTGCCAAACAATTGCACTGTACCTTGAATGTAGCAGAGGACAAGTTCAAGTGCCACGTTTGTTTTTCTTTTGTACATTTATCTTATTTATATGGTCTTGAGAGGCAATTTGAACCAGTTTTAAACTTGTATGTTTTATAAATAGACATCCGCTTTCAGAACTCTATATTATTGTATTGTGAATGTATGAATTGTGTATCTTATTTTGGTATTCTATATGAATTGTTAGTATTAAAGAAGAGAGTAGCTGTGTATGCTTATATTGTGTGTGACTGGTTGTGTACAACAATCCATTTCCTAAATATTTAGACTTTAACTTCCTATCAAAATTGTATAGTGTAATAAAGTGATACTATATGGATTAGTTATACATCGATATAAGCTATATGAAGTTCAGTGTAAAATAAATCTACAGTTTTAAAGTGGTAGTTGCTGTAGACGACAATTTTGAAGGGCACTTGTTTGATTTGAGTACATTAAATATTTTTTATGCTTTTGTCTTTTATGTTTTTCAAGTTGAAACATTAGGTGGCTCTGTGCTCTTGGCGTGGCTGCTAGTGATTTATAAATCAAAGGTCAGCTTTTTATTGCTCTGGTTTGAAGGAAGAATTTCAAAACAGGGACACCTTAGGAAGTAGTGACACATGGAGTAACGCAGAGTGTTGTAACACTGTTATTTCTACAAATTGTTATTTTACTTTAAAACTCTGTGTAAATGTGACCTAGTTTTACACAATTATTAGAAAAAGAATATTTTATCTGTCTCGATGCCTGTCAGCTCGTGGACCGCAGCATGGGAAGGCTTTCGGTGACATTATCCACAGAGAAGCTTTTTAAAGTTTTAGTCATTGGGGATCTGGGGGTTGGGAAAAGCAGCATTGTCATGCGTTATGTTAATAAACGCTTTGATGAAACATACAAAGCATCCATTGGAGTTGACTTTGCCCTAAAGACGATTGAATGGGATCCCAAGACAGTGGTGAGACTACAGCTTTGGGATATTGGAGGTGAGTTTCAAAACTATAAAGCAAATTCCTGTACTGCGACACTTCTGTGAAAACACTATTTAAAAAGTTTCTCCAAAGCTTTTATCTGTAAACATTTTAAATGCAGTAAAGTAATATCTCGATACATTTATTTATATATAATGTGTATTTGAATAGAGTATACCAGAGATACACTAACTAGCCACTGCATTAGGTATACATGTTCTACATAATGTCTAATTGGCATGGCAGCAACTCGGTGCATTTAGGCATGTGAATGGTAAAGATGAACTGCTGAAGTTCAAACTGAGCATCAGAATTGGGAAGAAATGTGATTTAAGTGACTTTTGATGTAGTACGGGTGTTGGTGCCAGACAGGCTGGTCTGAGTATTTCAGAAACTGCCGATTTACTGGGATTTTCCCCCAAAAACCATCTATAGGGTTTAGGGAGAATGGTCCAAAAAAGAGCAAATATCCAGTGAGGGGCAGTTCTCTGGGTGAAAATGCCTTGTTGAGGACAGCAGAGAGGCTAGACTCCTCTGAGCTAATAGGAAGACAACAGACAACTCAAATAACCACTTATTACAACCAAGATATTCAATGGCGCATCTGTGAATGAGCAATACATCAAACCTTGAAGCAGGTGGGCTTTAGCAGCAGAAGACCACACCCTGTGTAAAAACACTGAAGTTACAGTTTGCACTGGCGCACCAAAATTGGACATATTGGAAAAACATTTCCTGGTCTGATGACTTTTGATTTTTTTCAGCAACCTTTGGAAGGTAGGTACAGAATTGGGAAACCTGGCTCCATCCTGCCTTTTCATCAACAATTCAGACTGGTTGTGGTTACTGTGGGTTATTTTTTGGCACATTTTGGGCCTCTTAGTTCCATTTTTTAAACCCCACAGCCTACAGAAGATTGTTGTTGACCATGGCCACCCCTTTATGTCCACAGTGAACCCATCTTGTTACAACTGCTTCCAGTCACAAATGTCACAAATCCAGCAGCAAGGTGTACTTAATGAAGTGGATGCTGAGTGTACATTTAAATTTAAAATGATAGAAAGTACACTTATTTGCCTAAAATATATTTTAAATAAACAAGAACTCTGGAGGAAAGCATTTTATTTGCACATAATATTCCAAAATTGCACATTTTTTTTTAAAATTGATCCAAATCCATTTTTTCCACTGTGGAAATTATATTTTAGTTATTTTTTGGTGACATAACTTTTATACACATTTTTAAAGTTAAATTTAAGTTTAAGTTTGCTGAATGTTTTAGTGCCTGGAAACTCAAGTCAAACTGCAGTGTTTTGTTTTTTCTTTTTGATCGATTCTTTACTCAGAGCTAATTTTAATCCTAGCCAGTGTCCATGGAAACATACGATTTTATTTCAGAAAATTATCAGTAGTCTCTCAGTTCTTACATAACATTTAGGTTGCAGTCTGATTTGACATAATAATTCAGACCAAAAAGAAATAATAGCTGCCTATCCATGAGAAAAAAAGACACATTCCTACTTGCAGCCAGGTTTTATTAGAGGTTGAGCAAAAGGATCCATTACACACATAATTTTATTATCCCTCAAGGCCAAGAGAGGTTTAAGAACATGTCCAGAGTGTACTACAAAGAGGCGATGGGAGCAGTAGTGGTCTTTGACATTACAAACAGCTGCACCCTGGAGGCTGCCTCTGAGTGGAAGCAAGACCTGGATACCAAAGTGCGTCTTGACAGTGGCCAACCGATCCCTGCTGTACTGCTGGCCAACAAATGCGACCTGACGGGGAGAGATGGAGCCTTGGTGTCCTCTCTGGACAGCTTTTGTAAAGACAACAGCTTCCTGGGCTGGTTTGAGACTTCTGCTAAGGTTTGTGCAACCATAGAAGGGGAATATGTGCCTTCAGTAACAGTCAGTGTTGGCTGTTTAGAAGTAATAACATTAGGATATTCAGCAGATCATTAACTGATTATCTGAGGGATTGGATTCAGTTTGACTAATTTAATAGATTTTATATCTAAAAATATTCATATTGCAAGAATCCATTCTGCATGAGATCCTGCATTAGACTTGCATGAGGCTTTATTGCATGTGTGAACTTTATCACTGCAGCTACTGCATATAACCTGTTCATATAAATATGTTAAAATATTAACAAACGCAGCCAAAAACTTAACCCGGCGGATGCACGCACAATGTTCTATATCGTGTTCTTCCCTGCTTTTTTTTTTTAGGAAGATATAAATATTGAAGAGGCAGGTGCCTTCCTTGTCAAGCAAATAATGCTGTGTGACACCAGCCTGTCCGCTGAAGAGCACCACTGGGATGGGATCAGAGTGAACCAGACTCCCACGGAGAGTCAGAGTCAGTCACTGTGCTGCGGGAGATCACTGTTCTGAGACAAAGAGCCAAACTAAAGCTACTGCTGGTTAAACAGAACCTGACCTGTTTGTGGTGCTGGGACATGAATCCACAGCCGCCTCAGTGAAGCTATGACAGAAAGCCACCAAGCTTCAATAGCTTTATATTCATATTTCTGCTTTGCCGATTTTTCTCAATAATCTATGGATGTGTGGGCTGCCTCATAAACACCTCTGTGGAGACAATGAGCTCATTCCTCTGATAAACCACTGATCCAGTCAGGATAATAAACAGATCAGCATGATACACGTCCTGCTGGGAAAAGCCTGTGACACTCACTGCACAACCAAGACGTGCTAGTGAATGACCTACTATGATGAGGAGCCACAAGCTATCTAACATTTATTCCCATGCAGAAAAACAGTGAAAATGTATATTTCATGAAATAGTCCTCATCAAATGACACTTTATTTGATTGCAGCTTCCACTGTGCCTTCGCCTGTTATGCAACCCATGCATATAATTATCTCTTAATCACTTTTGCAGTAAGATGAGCTAAGACCCATGCATAAGCAAGACATCTCAGATTGATATGGCAAAAAGCAGAGAAAAGCTATCAGCATGACCTGATTTTGGTGGAGAAAAGAGATTTGTGAAAATGCCCAGAGAGTACACAGTGTGCTATACTGGGAGCAGAGCATTTAGCATGTATCTAACAAATATCAGAAGAGTGAGTGTATGTGACTGTATGTGTCAATGAAGTAAAATATCAGCCACTAAATTCTGGCTGAGATTGAAATAAAACCATTTGGAAGTATTTAGAAAATGACAAGCTCATCCATTCATCGCACACCCTCAACAGGTTACCAGGCTTATAAGTTCATTATTTCAATAGTTTAGTTATTGCTACACTGCCTAAAGTAACTGGTTAATTCTACGTTGATCAACTTAACAAATATATTTCTTGCCTGTTTGTTCATTTAAATCATGTCACCATGACCTTTTTAAAGGCTCGTAAATTTTATGCTTTAATCAGTTACAAGGTGTTTTAACAGAATACGTTTGAAATGATAACTTTTAAGTGAGTGGTTTGTTTTAATGCTATTATTGTGAAATTAAAGTGCCTTTAAAGTCTGACATTTAAACCAGTGCAATGTGCGATACCTTGTCTTGCTCATTGACGTGTTTTGTGTTGCTCAGGTTATTTTTGCACACCAATCTGTTCTTTGCTGTCCTGTAGTTTTACTTTTCGGTGTCCTTGCAGTGCAGCAAGGGAACTGTTCTACATCCTGCCGCTGGTTACCTTTTCAGAGTAGCATTTGTCCAAATTCAGCCACTCTCTCCAGATGTGTCATGAGAATGGATTTAACCTTGAAGTATAATCACATAATGTTTTGTTATATCAGCAGTTGTTGACATGGCATTAATTTGCATTACCATAAATTTCCCCCAAAATAGATTAAAAAGTTAAAAATGGGTACCATAATTTCCCATATTTATCCAAACCCCCCCCCCCACACACACAAATTCATCTGATCTCTACATGCTGATCAAAGGAGTTGCAGCATAAAAGCCAGCAAGGTAGTTTACCTCATGTGGCAATTGTGCCTGAGGCAAAATGATGGAAGAAGTAACACACAACTGCTAATTTTGGAAGTATGTCCCAGTTTCTGGAGACCTACATTCAGAAGTCAAAGAGGGATGCTGGCCCCAATACTTTTTCACATCGGACACAAAAGCCCGCTCCTTAACTTGTTTATAAATATGACAGTTTGAATGGATGGGAGCCTCACTCCCAGCAACAGATCCCATCACTTGTGCATTATTGATATTGCCCTGTTTTATCAGCCCTCCAGCGTGCATTTTCTCTGGCAGCTTCGTTCATATATTCATGACTGCATGACAATTTCAATTTAGTCAAACTTGTGAATAGGTTTATAAAGCGTAAAGCTTTGTGCATAGCTTTGCTGTGCCTCTCACTGTCTCCTATTGTGCCTTGTGTGACCCATTTTATGATGTCCTGTGTGGAAAAAGTCTTTGAATAGCAGACATTTGCAGACATTCTCCTGCACCTACATTATGTATGTCGATGTGCCCGAGTCCATAAATGCAAGAAAAGAAATGCTAGAATATGAATGAACCTACAATACCCTTTAAATTGACCACGTCCTGTACCATCGAGGGGCTCCATGATGACGGTCTGGAATCCTTACGTTGCTGTCCATGGTTCTGAATTTTTGTCACAAGGCGAGTTCTCAAACACAACAAAATACAGATTTAGAGGTTAATAGTTTTGCTAGTAGATGACGCCATCTAGTGCACAAAATATACCTGTGCAAAGACACTTTGAGAAAAGTGTTTTTTTTTCTTTTGTATTGCACTCCACATCAACGCTGAGACAAACTGATTCTATCTGAAAATCCTGTTTCTGATTCTAAAGGGTTATTGGCAGTACTAAACCAGTCCTGTTTCCCCCATCAACCACCAACATGTTTTGCTTCACCGCATCATGTTTCTGAATCAGATTTTTAAATTTGTAGCTACATTTGCTGCATTTAAGTGTTATCTATAGCAGTTTAAAGGATAAGCTAATCAGATGCTTTGCATGTAATGATCTGCAAAATAACCAGTGCCAAATGAAGCTACTACGTTTTTAAAAGCAATATTTAAAGTAGCATAAAATGCAAATACTCAACTTTTTCCAGTTTTAGGTGAAGGCACGAAAAAATTCAATTCTCAGTTCGAGAGATCAAGTCTGAAATTTGAGTTTCTCCATAATTTCTATTTTTGATTGTGATCAGTGCTGTTTGTTAAATCCACAAACTGCACTGAAAATGTTTTTATTTATATTATTTGGTATGCATTCTTTTTTTTCCCCCAGCAGTATGAACAATTGACGTTCATACAGTTATGGTAAAAATAAAGTACTCACTCTTTCTATTCTAAGGTTTTACATATCAGGACATTATAAATAATAATAATAATGTGGTCCTTCAAGTTGGGCAAGTACAACCTCAGATAAACAACACATGACATATTACACCATGCCCTTATTTAACAAGAATTAAGCCAAAATGCAGAAGTAGACATACATGCGAAGTACATTCTCACAGGTTTCATAGGAATTACCTCTATAAACACAGACGATTTGACAGAGACTACCTGAAAAACATGTAACATTACAGAAAATGTTCTGGAAGGTCCTTGAGACTGTCCTGTAATTATAAATTTCCAATGTAAAGTTTTTATTACTTCACAGAAAATGTACTTTGGTGTAGTATGGATGGTAATAGGAGGTGGGGGTCTTTATCAATACCAAACGCTGTCTGACTGTCAGACACAGTGGTAGTGGGCTGATGATGGTCACTGAGTTGACCATGAACTCCTCTTTATACTAAAGCATTTTGGAGTCGAATGTGAGACCATCTATGTGAAAGTCAAAGCTTTCTGAAATTAGGTAACGAAACAGGACAATGATCCAAAGCACAGCAGCACAGATTCTGAGTAAATCAATTAAGCTTAAGAAATGAGAATACAATATGTTTTGTTTTGTTTTTGCAACAGCCAACAGGTAAAGTGTCTAGAAGTCTATTATGTGTGGACAAAACACTGTAATCTTGTGTTAGATGCTTTTTTGTGCTTGAATGATTCATAAGTCTAAAATTACATCACTCTGAAAATGGTTGGGTACAAGAACTGGACTGAAAATGGACAAAAAAGCAGCAAAGCAAAGCTTTGACATTCAGAAAGTCTGGGCCATTGTAAAAATGTACAAGAAAATCTGGCTCCTTGGAAGCAAAATATAGGAGCAGTTCAAGACTTTTTGCACAGTGTTGTATGTGATAAATTATTGAAAGTCAATACAAAACTTTTGACAGAATTATATCCAGAAAAGAACCAAAACTAAACAATGTCTTAAATCGAATTTACAAAAAGGCTCTAACGTTTTAAACGTGTATTGCTAAGGCCATGGCTTTAATGTCTCATTAGGTTAACTCGACAATTTTCTGTCTTTTGTGTCTTCCACGTGACTTTGTCAGGCGTACCATTTAAGGGGAGCTGCTTAATTCCTGAATCAGTTAAAATAAAACTATATGCCCACATGTGAAGTTTTTAATGGGCTAATTAAAAGAATGACATATCACAAAGGTGAATATTTAACCAGGTTTTCCAGCTTTGTGTCCAATTCTCTGCAGAGCCAAAATAACCTCAATCTTCTTCCTTGGGGAACATAAGGAATGAGGAAATACGGCCTATTTTTCAGACATGCACAATAGATTGGAATAGAATACCAGAGGAGTACCCTTATATCGCGTTTCAGTGGGAAAGGGCGTTAGTAAAAGATGCTTGTGGCTACATTGTCTCCCACTGTTTCTCCCATTGTTTATTTGTTTGCACTTTTATACCACTCTTCAAAGGTCTGACAGGTGTCACTGGGGTAAGGTTTTGCTTCCCTCCCAGCCCTCGAGCATTGAGGCTGCTCGGGACTCTTCTGTAGCCAGCAGGGGGCCGCAGGGCTATCTGAATTCCTTGTGTTGCCATGTAAAAAAAATTTATACTTAAAAATTGTTTGAAGAGCTCACAGCGCCAAAAACGTTAAGATTGCGGCAAAATTAAGGACTTTGTTTTTGAGGATTTTTTTTAAATTATAATTTAATTTTGAGCCACACAAAATGACCATACATAGGTGTTTAGAAGTAATAACACTCCCTCTATTAAACTTACAATAATTTAAGGATATTGATGTATTTTAAATTGGTTTAATTTGCTATGATAGCTATCAAAATGTATAACCTATTTATGCTCTTCTTTTTTCTCAGCAGGTGTCAACACAAGCAGTTTTAAAACGTTTTGTCAGCTCACATTCCGATCGAGGTCACCTAATCTGACGGGTCACGGAATACATCGTAACACCGGTCCTGCATCCGGGTGACGGCAGAGCGCAGACTCAATCCCCGCTGCAGTTCACTGCGTTTCCGTAGCCACTTTGCTACCCGCTGAGCCCTGGTTGGGGAAGGAGCTGGCGGAAACGACTGAT